TGGTAGGATTTGTGTCTGAACCCCTCTGGGCAATGGAAACCGTTTTTTAGATCCGACGTGCTTTTGACCGTTTCGGCTACGAATTGTATCGGTGATCAAGTTAAGTTGAATAATGCCTTATAAACAAAGTTGAATAGTGCCTTAGTGCCGGTGTTGACCTCAGTGTCTACTTTTATATTTACATATCGTCTATCTCTGATATCGAGCGCTCATAAATATAGCATATCTTAAAATTATATTTTTTATATATATATATATATATATATATATATATATATATATATATATACCGCAAAAGAAAATTGGCTCCCTGTGCCGTACCAGAAAATTTTTCTCGCCGGAGTCAATCCTTCAAATCTACAAACCAACCATTCGCCCTTGCATGGAGTATTGCTGCCATATATGGTCTAGAGCCCTTTCTGTTTGTCTCAAGGTCCTCGATAAAATCCAAAGGCGGATATGCAATGTAATTGGCCCTGATCTGGCATCTCGTCTGCAGTCGCTTTCTCACAGACGTGCCGTTGCCTCCCTCTGTCTTTTTTAGAAATACTTTCATGGTAACTGCTTCGATGAGCTGCTTTCGCTGGTTCCCAGACTTCATGAATTTAAGCGTTCAACTAGGTTGGCATCTCGCTCTCACCCTTTCACTCTCGAAACTGTTAAATGTAGCCGTCTCTTCTACTCCAATAGCTTCATGTCTCGCACTTCTCGCCTGTGGAACTCCCCCCCATTTATTGTTTCCCCGATAGCTATAATCTCCAACTTTTCAAATGTAATGTCAATCGACATCTCCAGATGCCCTGATCTATCCCCATACCCTTCTTTTCATCCTTTCCTCTATCACTCCTATTTGCTCAAGCTCCAACTCTCTGTAAACCCTTGCGTGCTCGTGGCTTCCCGCCTTGCTTGGGGTGTAATTTGCTTTTATATATATATATATATATATATATATATTATGAAATGGACAAAGGTCGACAATTATTTAAAGACATTTTTATGTTTATACATTCTTTTTATAGATACAAATATTTAAGTAAATGCTCTGTTTATAATAAACAATATTAAACAACATTTACCGGCCTGAATGTCCGAGAAATTTTCACAGAAAATATTTGTCCTCCGACAGGATTCGAACCTGTATCCTATATGGAACCGTCATTTAGCTTGACGTGAGAGGTTCATGGAAGATTGAAGTTTAAATACAGTAAATTCGACCTTGTTAACCGAACGCTCCTTCGTAGCCAAATCGGTAAAAGCCCGTCAAGCTAAATGACGGTTCCGTATAGGATACATGGTTCGAATCCTGTCGGAGAACGAATATTTTCTGTGAAAATTTCTCGGATATTCAGGCCAGTAAATGTTCTTAAATACTGTTTATTATAAACAGAGCATTTACTTAAATATTTGTATCTATAAAAAGAATGTATAAGCATAAAAATGTCTTTATATATATATACCATGGATGCCCCGAAATACATGCCAATTTATTTCCACGCAAACTACAACAGATACAGGGAACACAATAATTGTAATTTGTATTTTTCTTGTCCGGACAAAGAAGAAAGCAAAACAAAAACAATATCTTCATTTGTGTTTTTTGATTAAAACCAAGATGGCTTTCTTTTACAATCTTAACGTATATACACAGAGTTTCTGACATATCTTAGCAATTCTTCCAGCCTTCCTTACCATTCCAATACCATTTTGTATTCCTGACACGAGAGGACGCAGTTATTGAACATGAATAATGACAATAACAAATATATTGTAAAATGGCCATTTCTTAGTCATGCATTTCATTTCTTTCACCTTATTAAGTTTAAACATTTTATTACTTTTCAGAGTTATATACACTAGTAGTAACCGTAGGAATTTCACGCTTTTCCTATTTGAATGTTCTCATCAATCGTAATTTTTCAGTTAATGATTGAATCAGCCACGACAATAAAAATATCCATGGAAATTCCTCTATTGCCTCGTTAAATATTTGAGCTTAACAGTTTTAACATAAAAATATGAATTCAGGTCATTATTTAAAGAAGTAAGAGGATACAAATGAAAAGATTAAAAACTGATAACGTTTACCATTTCACTGGAGCAGACGAAGACACAGTGGAGTAATGTATAGTGGCTCGGATTGAAGAATCGGAGAGCCGAGTTCGAATTACAGTCGGATCCAATACATTCACTTACGTACATTTGCACCCTTGGGAAAGATATGAATCCTCTTTCCCCACCCCAGCTATGGGTATTAAGAGGACACACTGGGTTCTATAGCCTTGGGTAGCTACTTGCCTAGGAGTAAGTAACTCTGAATCCAAAAAGTATATGTAGCCCTGGAGTAGCACATACTATACTGCCAAAGAAAGGATTGTTCGCATCGGCTCCACGATTCCGACTATGGTCGAATAATGATGATTATTGTCTACATCCCAGAGGCCCCAAGATTAGAGGGACCCCAGGCCCTCTAGTCTTGGCCCCCTGATAAAACTACAAAAAAATAATTTGTGATTCAAATATGCTTAGGTTTTGATTTTATTTTCAATATGATTTTTTTAAACAATTTATAATCAGTCTGAATCAGTGTTGAATTTACATATGAGCTAGTATGGTCTAAAAACACGGTGGCGTAATAAATAGCGGCTCGGATTGAGGAATCGGAGAGCCGAGTTCGAATTACAGTTGGATCCAATACATTCACTTACGTACATTAGCATCTTTTGGAAAGATATAAATCCTCTTCTTCCCCACCCCCAAGCTATGAGTAAATAACAGGACAGACTGGGTTCTATAGCCTTGGATGGCTACTCGTCTAGGAGTAAGTAACTCTGAATCAAAAAAGTATATGTAGTTCTGGCGTAGCACAGACTATACAGCTAAAGAAAGAATTGTTCGTATTGGCTCGATGATCCTAACTGCGATCGAATGAAGCAGACATTAAAAACATGCGAACATCATTGCTTCCTTAATTCTTTCTTTCTTTCTTTTCCTAAAACCAAACAGCCCGTCTATCTTCGCAATTAAACAGGAATAGTCCATTGTTTATCTGCAGTAATGGCAGAACGTCTTCTTTACGGCAACGAATGTTGAGCAATTTCCTCAAAGATGAAGAAGACACTCGAAGCGACAGAAATGTGGTTCTACAGAAAGATACTGAGTATATCATGGACAGAGCGTGTGAGCCACGATGAGGTCTTAGGATGCAAACAAGGAGGAGGCTTATACTTAACACCAGGAAGAGGCAGCTGCAGTTTCTGGGACACATAATGAGGAAGGAGGGTCTGGAGAATCTGATACTCACGGGTCAAATAGAGGAAAAGAGAGACAAAGGAAAACAACGCGTGACATACCTAGCGGGCTTAAGCAAGTGGATGACAAAACGTGGTCTGAGGGAGGTGTCAGAGGGAAGGAACTTGTTGAGAGCTGTAAGGGATAGAGGGAGGAGGTGGAGAGCCATGATCGCCTACGTCCTGAAAGGACATGGCGCATAAAAAGAAAGAATCCAATGACTTCGCGTAACTTGACTCTGACAGAGAAAAATACTTCAGCTAGCAAAATAATTATAAAAGGAAAACGCTTCATGTAAATTTTGTAAAAATTATTTTTTTTTCTCTTATCAAGTCTGTTAAAATCTAATTCTATCAATGATCAGTGTCTGAAGCATCATTTTATAGCTTAGTCGGGCATAAGGCCGCATTTGAATGTGATAATCGAACTCACGCTAACAGAGTTGTTCATGAGACGAGCTTGTTAAGTAATGCGTTTGTGTAGGCGTCCGGATTATAAAATAAACAGATTTACGCAGCAAAAGTAATAGCGAATGTTGATAATTTCTCATGGTGTAGGAATTAACCTAACATGGATTATTTCTCACAAGAATTCGCAAGGAAAAGAAATCGACGTCAAGACAATAATATATCTGTCTACTAAAATGGAATGCAGTACTTCCTCGATCATCCGCATTTCGATTTTCCAGATTTCGATTATCCGGACATGAAATGACGAGAAAAAAATTAGTTAATAAGACGCATTTAGTCTCAGACAAGCGTCATGAAAATTTAGAAAACCATACTACATTGTTAATGCCGTAATTCTGATTGCTGTGACGACGGAAAATTTTATTGAGCAATTTGCAGCATTGGACATCGACGTAAATGAAACAGAAATAAATGACTGGCTCAATGCAGACAGTCCTGGGGATGAACACTCAAGTGTCCAGGGTATGAACACTCAAGTGTCCTGGGGATGAACACTCAAGTGTCCAGGGTATTATTGAAATTATAACCATGCTGGAAAAAAATGTTGAAGAGTAGTAGTAATGATACTGCCCATGTTAAAATTCAACAGCCTCTATGTTTAATCTAAAACGCCGAAGCAATGATTATCTTTTACAAGTTCGTTCCGCTTTCAAACAGAAACACTACTTATAAATACGTCTACTTTAAGCCACCTTCGACAGGAAAATTAGACGCCAAGTGGAAACAGACAAAAATGAACGTCTTTTTTTCGTTATAAATAAACTTGACTAAACCTTGAAGAAAGCTTTGAAAAATATGATGAAAGCTTTGAAAATATGATGATAAAAATAATTATAAAAGGAACAGATTTACGCAGCAAAGCTAAAAGCGAACGTTGTTAATTTCTCATAGTGTAGAGAGGCTGTGGAGTAACGTGGGAGTTTACTGCGTTAAACTAACAGGGATTGTTTCTCAGGTACAAGAGTTCGCAAGGAAAAGCTTTCATTATAAAACATCATGAGAGCTTTGAAAATATGATGATATGAATGATCTCATTCAGAAAGTGACCTTTTTTTTTTCATTATTTTTCGATAATTTATGTATTCAATTTTCCGGAATTTTGAATTATCGGAAAATATTTTTTCAAAACCCTGTCTCAAGTATTACGGATGAACGAGGAAGTACTGTACATGATTTTCTCAGTCATAAAACGTAGGAGAAGTTCGGAATTTCACGCGTGATTTTGAATTTTAATTAACAACGTCAACTTCCGGCACGGGAATTCCTCGTCATCCCGGCTCCTTCCGATGTAGATGCTGCCACTTCGCCCGCCGAATTTTCACGATCACCACAGATCGAGCCATAACTCGGAGGCTTTTCGTGTTGTTCCGGATCTATTTCGCGATTATCTTCATTTTCATTTGAACAGAGTTCCCACGTGACAATAAACGAGATGATCAAACCGCTCAAAGTAACGAAGCCCGTACCGACCATAATACATATATTGAGCGCGAAGCGTTTGCGCGCGTACTCAACCTCAATGGCTTCCATGACTCGAGCTGGTTTGTGTGGATCGAACTTGTAGTCCCGAGGAATAGCGTATCCGATGGTGATCAGGGTCAAGCCTATTATCAGGAAGATCACGCTGAACAGGGAGAACATATCAAACGTGCAGTGAACACCCGACCCAGGCCGGCAGGTGCAGCAACATGTCGAGTCATCATCCACTGACATCAACTGATGCTGGTCAGAGCCTAAAAAAGAAATGGGTATGATTATTTTTGCTGTCAATACGCATTTAAAGTAACACACGCATACATTCTCTCTCTCTCTCTCTCTCTCTCTTCGGTATTAGATCAGAGTGTCTAAAGACAAAATGACGGATGGACAAAATATCGAGCATAATTCCTTTTACTTCGCATGCAAGTAACCTGCCGAGAAATTAAAGCAAAATATAGATCCGAATTATGACGTTTCAAAACTTGAAGGAATAATTGAATCTAGTACATAAATTGAATTATGAGGTAGGCGTCTATTTATAGAACTTAATGAATATATATATATATATATATATATATATATATATATATATATATATATATATAGATAATATTAGTGGAAAATATACATACATATGCAAAATATATAAATACCCATACATGTCAGAAAAAAATTCCAAGAGGAAGAATCCAGGTAGAACTCAATGTCTAGGACAGAGTAAGGATATAATAAAAAGGCTTAAACATATATATATATATATATATATATATATATATATATATATATATAATGAACAACAGACACTTCAAGGTACCATGACAATAATTTATTTTGTTCATTAAATATTAGCTCTGTTCTTCACATTGAGCTCTCAGGATTTCATCCTCCTTGGATTTACCAATTCGGTTTACCAAATTCTTCAAACTTAAATATATATATATATATATATTGGGTGGGATAGTGTGTATGTGTGTGTATGCGTGTATAGGTACAAATAAGTTTACGAATTCCTCGTAGTAAGGAAATATACGCACGCATATATACACGCATGCTGACAGGAACACGCCAAAATAGAAACAGATCCAAGAGCACATAGAGGTCACTAAAACATTAAAAGATTAAATGCCGATAACTACTCGCTGGACAAACCTTAATTGTTTTATGACCCTTCACGCAGAACTCTTCATTGACAATTCTAGAAAGAAAATTCGGATTGCCAACACACAAACAGAATGTCTCATATCGAGAATATTCCACATTGAACATGAAGAAAAATTAATTATTTTAATAATATGTAAAAATCTCCACTTTCACCTGAAGACGGTTGCGAGACCAGACCAGAAACACGTGTCGTGAAATTATGTAAAACAAAGTATAATATTTTTTCTCAATAAATCCACATTACAACCAAAAACGTTTGCGGCACCCCTCTTCTTTTTAATATACATACTTTTTTCTCTCGTTGGAACCACTACAACATATTTCTTTTATATATATATATATATATATTAGGTTGGTGCAAAAATAATGACGTAATAATGTCGTTTTTGGACGTATTTTTTAACGTCAAAAAACGACATCATTACTTCATTATTTTTGCACCAACTAATATATATATATATATATATATATATATATATATATATATATATATATGTGTGTGTGTGTGTGTGTGTGTGTGTGTTTGAACATAAAAAATATAAAAATTTAAAATTTCAGACACACTGGGTTGTATATTAATATTTTTCTGTTTTATTATTTCAATTAGGTTCCTTGAATACTTTCGGTCAGCATAGTCAACATTAGTAGAGAAAAAAATCCCTGCTTGTTAGTAGCAGCAAAACTACAGGGAGGGAATGACTGTCTCTGAAAAAAGTCAACTTTATCTGTAGTTTTCATTTGTTTTTTTATCGTTAATTTTCGTCAGTTGGTTAAACGGCTTCTTTCAAGTTGTTTTTAATATATATATATATATATATATATATATATATATATATATATATATTAAGAGTCTTCTCATATATATATATATATATATATATATATAAATATATATCCAAGTATATGATTGGTGTATACGGAATAAATTCCAATAACAAACAATTACTATTCTTAAAAGAGTGCTCAATACAGAGTAGAGCGAATATAATTATTTATTTAAAAATTATAACTTAAATATGTTATAAAATCACTACATATTTATGTTATAATTTTTAAATAAATAATTATATATATATATATAAAATGTGTATATATATATAAAGGTAAATATTTAAGCAAGGCCTCTGAGCAGGAGGTTTTGAGGAACGTGGAACTACCTCTTAATTGCTGGTGTTCCCAGGTCAACACTGACTCGGGGTAGTAGCACCTGTTAGGGTCCCAGCTATGGGCAAATAGTTAATTATTACCAGCAATACTTTTTGAAAAAAATCATTACCAGCAACACATTTTTGAAGGAAAAATATTACCAGAAATAAATTTTTTGACGAAAGAAAATATTACCAGCAATAAAAAATTTTGACGGCATTAAATAACCCGTTGAGGTTGATATGCCATAAAACAAAATAAACCAAACCAAACCAAACCAAACCCTCTTTTTAAATTTTATTCACCGTTCTCTGGATGGTTCTTGAATGGACTTTGAAGATGGGAGCCAGAGTATAAATGTTGGTACCATTTAATGAAGGCCTGAATGATCTTTTCCTCCCACCATTGCTCAGTTGGGAAGACATGATGGGTCTGACACAAAACGATTTTAAACTTTCTCTTTCTAACCGAATAACTTACGACAAATAGTGTGACGATGGTTATACGTCTTATCCAAAAACCTGGAAAAAAGAAACTCACTTAGTTTAGTGGTTTTTTTTAGGTATTAAAGATTTTGTGGGATGGACAATTATCGCATGCTGAAACACAATTTGGACAATTTTGCTGTTACACCTGGTATATATTTTTTAAATTGAGTTCACCCCATACAAAGCAGTAAAGCCGCTAAGACACAAGGAGTTACTTAGTGTGGAAGAATTAGAAAACCGAAACATTACTAAGGAGCGTGAACAAAAAGAGTAATCAAAAGATAGCAGTTGACATTGCATTTAAATTTTTGAAAATTAAAGATGGCTGGAAGCGTGACAAAAGATATATATATATATATATTATAATTATTTTTTAAAACTTCAATAAAATTATTAAAATTAAACTGAATTAAAGTATCAAGCTATGTTTCATCTACAAGCGAAATTTTTGGAATAACTAATCTTGAAATTTACGCATCTTCCAAAAATTTGATACTTTAATTCAATTTAATTTTAATAATTATATTGAAGTTTTTGGCGCTTTTTATTTTTTAAAGATGAGAACTCTTATGTAGCGAAGGAATCATATTTTTAAAAAAATAATTATAATTTAAGCTCTACTTTTGTATTGAGTACTGTTTTTTAAAAATAAAAACAAAAATACTAAAGAACTTCGGATTATTTACCTAACGCGTTTTTAACTATTTTTCTATATATTTGCACACACACACACACACACACACACACACACACACACACACACACACACACACACACACACACACACACATATATATATGAAGAAATATAGTTTTAAGGTGTGCTATATTTATGGGATAATGTGCTCAGTATCAGAGATAGAGTGTATGTAAATATAAATATAAAAGTGAACATAGAAGTCAACACTTAGAGGCGACGGCTTGTTTCCTGCTAGACGCAATCGTCAGGCCTGATGATTGCGTCTAGCATGAAACAGCCTGTCGCCTCTGAGTGTTGACTTCAATGTTCACTTTATTTATTCATATATATATATATATATATATATATATCTTTGTTGACTTTAATGTTCACTTTTATATGTTATATATATATATATATATATATATATATATATATATATATATATATATATATATATTTTTATTTTAGGATATTACATCGAGAACATGTCAAAAACGCTACACAATTGCAATTGTGTAGTGATTTTGATATGTTTTTCAATGTAATATCCTAAAATAAAGAATATTGCTCTACTTTGTATTGAGCTCTCTTTTAAATTAAATGCTATGGACGTTGAAATTGTACTCTATTCATTCTCATCTTACCTGGATACATACACACACACACACACACACACACACACACACACACACACATATATATATATTGTGTGTATTTAGGCAGCATTTTTTCATTCATACATGTTTCATTAAATAATATAGACAAGTGTTGTCTATTTATTTTATGTAAATTCTTTTCATAACATCTGATAAGCTTAATAACATTATCATTAAACGAAGAAAGAAAATCACAATATTGATACATATTTTTTAATCCAGTCTAATTACTGTACGATATATTAAGCAATACACAGACAACAATGTGATGATAGTCTGTTTCTGTTTACACGGATGATTTCTTAGCAACGATAAACACGTGCATATAAGACGCTGGAAGCGAAAATCGCACCGCAGCTCATGACGTCACACATGACCATGCGAGAGTGAATTCGAGAAGTATTAAGTATGGGAAGCCGTCGGTATAAACCAATGGCTTCTGTTACCAATTATAGACATTTAAGGATATTTGTGGAGATTTCATTGTCTATTTTGTTCAGGTTAGGTTTCAACTGTTTTATGTGTATAGCTAGAATTTTTAGTTTTTATTTATTGTTTTCAAGTATAATTGTGTTTTCGACAAGGATTTTACGGAATTGTGGATGCGGCCAGGCATGTTGTTTTAATATATGTGTGTGTGTGGGTGTGTTTGTGTGTGTGTGTGTGTGTGTAGGTATGTAGTCGGAGTAAAAATGAATTAAGAAATACTGTATTTCCCAGATTAAACTGAAGTTTGATTTCGCTGGCCACGCCAGTAACCTTTCATGTCTCCTGTAAATAAGACTGTTGAAAATCATCTGATATGAAATATTTCCTAAATGTTGAATTTCGAATGAGACAATTTAGTACTCGCTCCACCACTTGTATTGAATAAATAGTTTGGTTGAACATTCAAAGCTTATCGAATACGACGATAGACTCCCGAAAAAATCCGGAAGGTAAAATGGCCTAAACATTGTGAGCATAACAATCGAGATGAACTTGCTTGCAGTGATGTGCAGAAATTTGGTGATTCTATACCCCTGAGATAAGGGGGGGGGGCTATAGGGCCTAGTACTGAGAAATGTGAGAAAGGAAGACATTTTAAACATGTAAAAACACA